AACATGTTTAGAACATTAAAAAAGCTCTGTAACTTTCTAGTATGAAACATTTCAAACATACGCAAAGATAGAATGTGGTAGTATACCGTTTTTTTTTTTTTTGTGGTAGTATACTTTTTTTTTCGGTGAGAAGGTCTTGCTGTGTAGTTCAGGCTGGCCTTAAGCTCACTATGTATCTCAGGCTGGCCTCAAACAGTAATCTTCTTGCCTCAGCCTCCCAAGTGCTGGGATTATAGGCATGCCCCCTCGCCCCAATATGGTAGTATACTGAACCTCATGTTCCCATTATCTGGCTTCCCAGCTGAGGAACTGTCATTCTTTCTGTAATTATTGCCTTGAGGTGAATCCTCATGATTAGAATCCCTTCAGATATTCTAATGGGTGTAACTGTCACATGGGTAATAGTTTACAATACCCCCAGCAGCAGATAAGCATACCAGTTTCACAATTCCTTAGGCAATGATTATTACAGGTAATCTGGGTTATAATAAGTGTCAAAACAATGAGATTCCTTTCTTCCCTTCCTCCTTCACCCCTTTCTTTGCAGTACTGGGGGTTGAATTTAGGGCCTCTGCACCGAGCCATATCCCCCCCCCCCCCCACTTTTTTTTGGCACCAGGGATTGAACTCAGGACCTTGAGCTTTTGAGGCAGGCACAATGCCACTCAGCTAAATCCCTGTACCCCCAGACTTTTAAAATTCTTTTTATTTATTTATTTTTTTTTGAGAGAGAGGGTCTTACTAAATTGATAAATTGCCCAGGCTGGGCTTGAACTTGTGATCTTCATGTCTCAGTCTCTTAGAGTGCTGGAATTACCATCCCACTTGGCTCTGTTTCTTTTTAGTCAAGTTCGGCATAAGAAATGACCCACTTGGGACAGGGATTTAGCTCAGTGGAGCCGTGCCTGCCTTGCAAGTGCAAGGACCCAAGTTCAATCTCCGGTACAAAAACAAAAAAGAAAGAAATGACCCACTTACACACTGTTTAGGCAAGTAAGATGTGACTCAAATCATGTTTCTTCTAAGAATATGTCTGAAAACCTTTGATTTTACACACTGACATTTTGGGTTAAAATTTATTGTTATTTTTTACAGCATAGTATAATCTGTTTTTTGTTACTGGTGTTAAGGGTAGCATGGAGGATGTAGAGAGGACCTGGGAGAAGTATAAAGATAATACACATAAGCATGAGAGATAATTCTGGCTGAGCTTTAACAAGTGTCTTGGCTGACACCCCGAACACAGCAGAAGTGAACGGTTCAGCTGTACAAGGACAAGTGCTGCATAGGGGTTAAGAGAATGGGTTATGAGCCAGAAAACTTGGGCCAGAAATCCAATTCTCTCCTTTAGAGCAGTAACTTGGACAAGACATTTAACTTCTCGCTGTCTCTGTCACCTTATTAATAAAACATGGAAAATAATGGAATCCACTTTACAGGCTTGGTGTAAGGGTTAAATGAGACAAAGACAAAGCTCTCAGCACTGCTCAACAGAATTTCCTGTGAGGACAGAATGTTCTGGATCTTCAGTCCAAGACAATAGCTGCTAACCATCGGCAGCTATGGTACACTTGAAATATAGCTGTGTGACCAAGACACTGAATTCTAAATTCTATTTAACTTTTATTTCTATTATATTAAGTAGCCATATGGCTTAGGGTGAGCACAGATTAGAACAATGCCTAGGATGCACAGTAAGTGGACTTTACACAGTCTCCATCTGCTCCCCTGTGGAGAGGTTTTCAGGCTGTGAATCAGGCTGTGAAGTGGCCTGCAGAGACTGTTCCTGGGCCCCCTCAGCAAACAAACAACCTGTCCAATGGGAATCCTGGAGGATGGCCTGGCTGCATTCTTGGGAGCAAGGCTCACAGGGAAGGTTGTAAATCTCTTGTTCAATGCTCATCAGCACACCCTTGCTAGAAGCAGGACTAAGCACAGGAGAGTGCTGTTCTTGGTTCCCACAGTGTGACTCCCTGAACCTCAACCTCCAGGAAGGCTCCCATTTTGGAGCCCAAGACAGGAACACTGGGGCTCCCCACAGTACATGGCGGGTAGACCACATCCTGTCAGCTAACGTGTCACCCTTGCAAAGCACATATTTTAATTTTCTTGTTCTTTTTTTCCTGCAAGTAAATAAATAATTGGGCTTACAAAAAATTTTTAGGTACTTTTCCATGATACTTGCCAGCCAGGGTACATTAAATATCGAGATCGTAGCATCTGAGAACTTGAAAAGCTATTTTCTGAGAGAATCAGCTCAATGTCTTCATTCCTTTGAAAACATACAGAAAAGACTCAAGTTAATTAGAAATGTCACTCTTAGAACTGCACATTCTGCTTCCTCCCTACACTTCCATATGCACATAGAAGCATGTATGTGGATGCTTTTTTTTCTGTTAAACCACAAGAAATTGACTTGTGTATACCATGTTATTGTACCCTTAAATATGTCAATGTACATTTCCTAAGAACAAGGATATTCTCTGACAGGACCACAGTATCATGATCACACTCAAAGAATTTAGTTTTGTGACAGTAGCAGTATGGCAGAATCTCATGCCACACCCAGACTCACCGAATTGGAAACTAATTTTTACAAGATCCTCAAGAGATTCACATGCATAATAAAACTAGAGAAGTACTGATCTAATATTTAACCATTTCCCAATTTTCCCTTTTTTAAGTGGAGGGGGGTTCATGATGCAATCAAGGTTAATGTTGTCTCCTCTCATCTGGAAGAGTTTCTTCATCTTTGTTTCTCATGGCACTGATACTCTGAAGAGGATATGCTGGCTGTCTTGCATCCCATGACCTGATTTATCTGATTGCTTCCTAGAGGTGATGTTCTTACTGACTCACATCAGGAAGCACATCCCATTTTTAGTCTTTTTTTGTTTTTTGTTTTTGAGACAGGGTCTCGCTATGAAGTTCAGGCTGGCTTTAAACTGCTGGGTAGCGCAGGCTGGCCTCAAACTCATAGCAATACTCCTGCCTCAGTCTCCTGAGTGCTGGGATTACAGGTGTGTGCCACCACACCAGACTCTCTTATTAGTCTTGCTGATGTAATCATCTGGTAAACATAGTGTCTACTAGACCTTGTCAATCAAAAGGCAGTGTTCCCTCCCTCCCTCAAGTACTAAACACTGTGTGATGACACTACACCGTGGAAGACGGGAATATCCCTTTTCTTCATGATGTTTTACCCACTGCTTTTAGCATCCACTGATGATCTTTTCCTAAATCAATATTAGGTTGAAAGTTACAAAACATCATCCCTCCCCCTCCTTCCCTTTTCTATGGTGCTGGGGATTGAACCCAGGGCCTGGCACCTACTAGGCAACTGCTCTATGACAGAGCTATACTCCAGACCCAAATGGTTATTTTCTAGTTCGACTGATCATTACTTATTTCGCTCTTGTAAAAGGAAGGGTTTTGGTGTCTGCCCAATTAGCACCTCTGTGTTATAATCTATTATTACAACTGTTCTTTATTATGCTCAAATTGTCCTGAATTTGACAGTGACTAGCTTTGTAAGCTAGTTCTGGTATCCTTTCGGCACATCTCTAATCTTTGAGTACTTCCCTGCATTACTGGCATAAAATGGAGTGGGCTTGCTTTGAGCTTTCTCTGCCAAAACTTTTTGAGAAGGGTCTTGCTAAGTTGCCCAGGCTAGGCTCGAATCTGTGATCCTCCTCCTCAGCCTCCCAGAGTGTTCCAAGTTACAGGTGTGCACCGCCAGGCTGGCCCATACTTAAGTAATCCCCTTTCTCTAATCAATGAAGTTGGAGTCAGTTTCAACAGAGGACTGTGTTAAAAAATTACCCAAATTGGCCCAGTGTGGCTACATAGTGAGTTCAAAGCCAGTCTGAACTACATAGCAAGACTGTCTCCAAAAAAAAAGTTATCTAAATTACTTCTTTACACTGTGCATAGTTATTATTACTTTGATATACACAGACTCATTTTTGAGGGTTTATATTTGTTTTTTCCCATCTTGCTGATTTAATTCTTTCCTCCTACTGCTGGGGATTGACAGACAAGTGCTCTACCCCTGGGCTATACACCCAGCCCTTTAACTTCTGAATATAGTCAGGTGTGGTGGCACAGGCCTATAATCCCAGCACCTGGGAGGCTGAGCCAGGAGGAACACTGCTAGTTCTAATCCAACCTGGGCTACATAGTGAGTTCAAGGCCATCCTGAACTACACAGACTCTGTCTTAAAGAAAAAAATTTTTTTTAAATACATAAAGTATTTACATGGTTAAAAGTCAAAACTATGTAAAATGGCATATATTGTTTCATATTGTAATTTAAAAAAAAATCCTGAGCACAGGAATTACAGACATGCATCACCATCCCTGAGCATTTTTCACATTCTTTTGTTTTGTTTTTGAGATAAGAGTCTTGCTAGGCAGTTTAGGCTGTCTTTGAACTTGCTATGTAGTCCAGGCTGCCCTCCAACTCTAGATGACCCTCCTGCCTCAGGCTCCTGAGTGCTAGCATGCACCACCACACCTGGCCATTTGTCACATTTTAACACAAGGAACACTGAGACAATCCTGACTTCCATTCTTCAATGTATGAGGATGCGAATGGGTCAAAATGAAATGCCCCAAAATAGTATACAATACTGACACATGAGGTCTCCTTGGTGACTTCTACAGGGCGTCTATAGTACTTTAGAACCTGACTTCCATAAATGCTCAGATCTTAGATACGGTGGAAAGACCCCATGGGCCATAGGCAGAATGCAGCCAGTCCTGCAGAGTGGAGTCTGGAGAAGTATACCTGGTAATAATCCCGTTTTCTGCCAGAATGAAGGCTGCAGTAGGGTTGGCAGCTCTGAAGAGGCTCTGCAGCTGAACAAGGAGAGGGTGCCTCTGCTCCATGGTGAGACTCGTGAACACGACATTATTCACCAGACCTGTGGAATGAAACCAAGAACAGTTCAGCCTTCCGAGGCCCGACTGGGGCTGCCGGCTCACACGAATGTGGGCCCTTGCTCCTTGCCTTCATCATCCCTTCCACACCTACACACCTCCACTGACATACCTAGATGTCATTCTCTCCCCCCTTTTAGGAACTGCTACATCTTTCTTGGTACTGGAGATTGAACTCAGGACCTTGCCCTTGTGAGGCAGGTGCTGTGCCACTAAGCTAAATCCCTGGCCCCTCTTTCTACCCTGCAGCTGCTTCACTCCCTAACCTTTTACTTTTGGTGACATTAGGGATTGAACTCAGGGGCTTCCATATACACCTTCTCTACTACTAAGCTACAAAGTCTCACTAAGTGGCCCAGACTTGGCCCTGAACTTGTGATATTCCAGCCTCATCCTCTCCTGTAGTTGACTTTACAGGCCTACAACCAAGCCCAACTCCTCTACTTTCTTACTTAGGCTTTTTTGGTTGTTACCTGAGTTCTTGATCATAGGGCCTTTCTACATCCACCATATTTAACCATATCAGAAACTGGTGCCATTTACCCTTGCCTATTCAGACAACAGACATTTATATTATTTTATTTATTTTTTGAGACAGGGACTTGCCATGTAGTTCAGGCTGCACTTGAAACTCACTATGTAGTCTAGGCTGACCTCAAACTTGTGGCTATCCTCCTGTCTCAGCCTCATGAGTGCTGGGATTACAGGTGTGAGCCACCACATCCAGCTCAGACAACATTTATTTGCCAAACACTAACCATATGTCAGGTGTCAACCATTATATTCTCAAAGAGTGCACAGCCAAGGTTTCACACAATTATAAGATATGAGGGCCGGGGATTTAGCTCAGTGGTTCCAGCACCTGCCTCGCATGCACAAGGTCCCGAGTAGGATCCCTGGTACCAAAAAACCACCAACAAGATATGTGCTTGGACAGATATTCACCTGAGGACACGGTAAGAAAGGGGTACCTATGGAAGGCGAAGCTGTAGAGCGGCTATGATCATCACACCACTCCTAACCTTTTTGTGAAAAGATGGATATAAAATTCCTAAGACCATGGAGAATCAGGAAATCAGAAAAGGTACTACATCCCATCATTCCAACATACTTAAATACCTCATCTATGTTAATTTCTACTTTTACATATTTATAATCATAGTACATACACAATTTTGGTGTAAGATCATTTAAATGTCTGTTATAATTTTTATTTTCTTATTGTGAAATTTTAAATATATATATTATATATATATATATATATAATACATATATATATATATATATATAAAGAAAAATACAATCAACGCTCATTACCTGGCTTCAAGAACTATCAATAATTGACTAATCTTATTTATTGACTGATTGATAGTCAACTGGGTAACTGGGGATTGAACCCAGAGTCTTTACATTGAGCTGTATCTGCAGAGCTTTTTTGTTTGTTTTTTTTTTTGAGACAGGGTCTCGCTTTGTAATTCAGGCTGGCCCTGAACTCATATGTAGCCTAGGCTGGCCTTGACCTCACAGCAATCCTGCATCAGCCTCCCAAGTGCTAGGATTACAGGTATATGCCACCATGCCTGGCTGCAGTGCTTTTTTTTCAACCTTGAAACAAGTCTCAGAAAGTCACAGAAATGTCCGAGGCTAGCTTAAATTTGTGATCTTTGTGTCTCAGCCTCCCAGAGTGTTGGAAGTAAAGGTATGCACCATCATGCCTGGCTGGCTAATTGTATTTCATTTGTACCATACTCTAACTCTTCTCCTGCCTCCCTACTGGATGATTTTGAAGTCAACCCTAGATATCCAACTACTTCACCATATTTTATTTTATTTATTATTATTATTATTTTTTTTTTGGTACCGGGGATCGAACTCAGGTCCTTGTGTTTGCGAGGCAGGCAGCGGAACCACTGAGCTAAATCCCCAGCTCTTCATCCATATTTTATTTTATTTTTTTTGCTTCATAGCATCATTTATGGCATGAACTAGGAATGTAATGTGTTTACACAAACACACGACAATTGTACATCAGCATCTTTACAATATTAAAGGAGTCATATACAAGTCTACAGGCATTATACACAGGGTGCTGGCCCAGGTAACCCACCCACCAGTCCTCTGCATTTTCTCCATTCAGGAGGGGCCAGCATGTGGGAAGTATGACAAGGCCCAAGGTGTCCATCTTTGAGCCTGTTGTCTGGGACGCAGCAGGTCTATGAGGAGCCCCTCAGGGTCAGTCCTCACTGGAATCCAGGGTCAAGAGCGCTAGGTATGCCTGTGTCCAGGCCTTACCATCAGGCTAGTATAACAAGTTTAACTAAAACTCAATGTGCATATTACTGTGGGAAAACTGGAGCTGGGGATGGCTCCCTGAGCTGGGGATGGCTCCCTGAGCTGGGGACCCAGAGGATGCTGCTGACAGATGGGCCCCTTCATGGTGAGGCCCATTCCTGAGGTAAGGTGCAGCCCCCATAGCTGGTCCTGGTGGGGACAGGCTTCTCCAGGAGCCCAGGCACAGCACACACAGACAGGGCTGGGAGCTCCTGGGCATGAGCAGGTCACTTGACCTGCAGAGCGCAGCCTGAGCCTTGGATGGCAGACCTGCTAAGTGCAGCCTGAGCCTTGGATGGCAGCAAAGGAGAGGATCTGAGATGGTCATGAGAGCCATCTGATCCCCTCCCACCACCTCCTCCTCCCAGAAGCCCGGCCCCTTGCAGCCCCTGCTTCAGCTCCTGCAGCACTGTTATGCCCACATCTGGCCCCCAGCCCCAGCTCTACAGGTGCCTGGGCCTCAGGGCCCCACAGCTCATCCAACACGTGGGCCCGCTGCACGTCTGACTGAGAACTGAGCACCAGATGAAGAAGCGTTGGTCCCTGGTGGCCCTGCTGCCTTGTGCAGTGACAGTTACTTCCATTTTAAATACTGTAGAAAAATAAGCCATCTCCGACACAAGGAGACCTGCCAAGAGTCTGCTACTCGTGGAGAAGGATAAACAGCTGCTTGGGAATAGCTGGGGGTGCCTTTGCTCATTCTGCCTCAGCAAGTAGAGGACTCTGCACCTGACCGCAGAGCCACGGGACTGGACAGCTGGCAGTGGAGTTCTGGCCATGCCATCTCTGGTCACAACAGTCCTTCGGTGGGCACACCTTTGGCTTCCCACACTCTGTTGCCATGACACCTGGAGGCCTGGTGCCCCCAGGATGGCAGTGGACCCTTCAGCCCCACCCTCATTGTCGAGCCCACTGCTAAGCACACATAGGCAGGACTCCCCAGCACTGTTTCCAGGTCTCTGGGAGTGATCCCAGGGCCAAGAGGCCTTAGGTGGGCACTGAGGCAGGGCCTAGTCTAGGGACTCCTGCTTCATCCGGACGGCAGTGGGGGGTGGGCTGTGGTCTCCGGTCCTCCCTGCAAAGGACGCCGCTGAACTGGGAGGAGTCCACGCCACCTCCACAGGATGCAGCCACACTGAAACCCCTCTGGAAGAGCCTTTCCAGGACCTCTCCTGGTGCCTGAGTTTAATTTGAATCCAAAGTCAGACTCTGGGTGTCAAAAGAAGTACACTTGGTTGAAAATACCCTGGGCCATTTTTATAGAACATCCTGCACAGAGTTGAGCTGGCAGTAGCCATTGAGAGGGAAGCGGATGACATGCGCGGGGTCCTGGTTCCAGCCGGCGTTGACCGAGTTGCACATGACATCCCTGATCTCGGGGAAGACCTCTTCGATGAGGGCCTTCTCGCCACTGAGCGCAATGCGCTCCCCCAGGTCTAGTGTGACTCTCAGCACCAGGCAGTCGCAGGCCCGGCTGCGGCATCGCTGCTCCTGCTCCTGCTGCCAGCGTTCCAGCTCTCGTACCATGGGCTGCAGCTGGTAGTACCTCGCCTCCTCGTACAGCAGGGTGAAGTCCTTGAAGTCATCCAGAAGCAGCAGTTTGGACGTCCGAAGGAAGCTCAGGACATAGCAGAAAATCTCCCCATCTCGGTCAATGAAATAATGTTGTTTCAAACTGTCCAGAACGATGGGTTCAGTGCCATTGAAGAGGCGGCTTATTCTGGAGTCAGGGTATTTGGTGAGTGTGGCCCAGCTGCTGGTATACATGTGGCCACCCACATTGATGTGCACAGGTGCGTTGGACGTGGTGAGCTGAGCTGGCAGTGGGATCTCCTGGGCAGCCAGGGGAGACACAGGCGACCGGGTGAGAGACAGCCGGGACATGTTTCCTCCCTCCGTGGTGCCGGCGCTGCCCTAAGTGTGAAGCGAGGACCCACTCGGCCGCTCCTTACGGTGAGGCATCTAGGCTTCTATCGCTGCCCAGAGCATCACTGGAAGCCCCAGGGGTTACGCCTCCACCCGAATCTCCACTGCTCCCTTGGACAAACGCATGTGTTGGACAACGACCTTTTCCCCAAGACCACTGCCGAGGAGGTGCTGGACAACGACCTTTTCCCGAGACCACTCGGAGCCAGAGCGGTGGATCGCACTCGGGCGCAGCCCGCAGCCCCCACCCCCGCAGCCGCTGGTCTCGTGTGCCCGTGCGCAGCCTCGCCTCCTGTGCTCGCTGCGTGGGTCGCTCCGGTCTCCTCCAGGAGTTACTTTCTCTCTCGACCCCAACCCTCCCCCCCACCCGCTTCGCGTGGCCCCCCGCGGCACGGAGCACCGGGCCAGGGCCTCCCCTCCCCGCCCTCCCCGCGCCTCCTCCCTTCATCCATATTTTAGTATGTGTCCCGATAGTATAAGGACTCTACAAAGCAATGATTAATAAATTCCTTAATATAAAAAGAATCCAGTCCATCTTCATATGTGTTTCATGAAAAAATTTTTTGGTACCAGGGCTCAAACTCAGGAACTTGTGCTTGCAAGGCAGGTTCGGTGCCAGTGAGCTAAATCCCCAGCCCTTTTTTTGTACCAGGGATCGAACTCAGGACCTTTCGAGGCAGGTAGTGGCACCACGGAGCTAAATCCCCAGTCCTCTCAGCCCTTTTTT